GGATGCCGGCATCCACGACCATTTGTGCCGCTCATCCTTCAAGCTTTCTTGGTCGAATCGCCCGATATGACGGCGGTAGGGTCGGTTCACAAGCAGAAGAGCTGTCAATACTGCGACCACTCAGGTCAGCTCAAGCAGCTGAAGTGAGCACAAATGAAGAGTGAGGTAGCTTCTGACCACAGTTCGTCCGAATTTTTTAAACAAAAAAAATGGCCCACAGATAGCTCCTCAGTGGAGGGAGCAGGTTGAGACTCCTGCGCTGCTCATGCGCCAGTTTATTCAACCATCCATCATCTTAGCGTTTAGCCGGACTCCTTGAACTGTTCTAACTCGCCTCGTCTCGAAGGAAACATTGCACTTCGATAGTTTCGTGTTTCCTAGAAGATTCGCATCACAATTGCCGAAATCCAGATGTTCAAATTGGCCTATTGACCGACTAGCTAGATTACTGTGGTCCGGGACAGCCCTACCTCGCTCTTTTTGGTTTCAGTTAATGAATTTCTTGACCAAATCAAATCGGGAATCATTCATCATCCTCATCCTTGGACTGAACCGGCTTACCCTTCTTCGTTTTCATCATTGCCTCATTTAAGCTATCGCAAAACATCTCCTTTCGACTGCTTGAAAAGTCTGGACATGTATAAATCATATAGCCCTTCCCACACCAGCCCTGTTGGACAAAAATGGGAGCTTCCAGCGGCCTGAGCCGAAGCGAACCACCCCCTGGTTTCAACCTTTTTCGAGCGTTCTCTGCAAGACTGATGCTTCTGCCCTTAACAGGCTAGCGATTTCTAGAAACCTTCCCACCCCCTTCCGGCCTACATTTTCAAAGTGCCTGTTCAGGTTACCCTCAAAGGGCTAGCCCATTAGCTCTCACCAGCCTTCCGTTCTTGCCAACCAGCATTCAGGCAAGAGTTCTATGGGTTGCACGACGGTCATACCTTACGTATTCGCTTGTTTTGCTTACTCAGCATGTATTTTTTTAAACAGGCCCTTCACTGCCTAGATTGTCAACTTTTAACCTATTCCACCACAGCCGCACTTAGTTGTGGTTTTCTTTTGGGAGGAGTTCGAGCCATGAATTTCTTACAATTTTCGCAGTTGTCGCGCGATTAATTCGCATCTGTAGGCTATACCTACCTTGATGATATGCTGCGACATCACTCTCCAGTGATCCTTCTTCTCGATCATTCCAGTCCATTCCTTGCACTTTTTTTGCATGTCGTCAGATGAAATATTTGCTACTGACTAACGTTTCAAGTAGCATTCCGTTCCCCCAACATCACCTTCCGCTCATGCTGCTAATGGGCTGACTTCTGCATACATGGGTAGTGTAGGAGCTTGCCAATATGAAAATAGCTAGAAACATGTCGGTAATGAATGAATACTACCGACTCTCATCACTCAATTTCTACAGAAGACGAGCGAGCGGCTGCTCTGCCTAGTGCTTTCGAGTAATCAGAGGACGACGTAATTTGTTTGATAGCTCAGGCTCGTTGGGTAATTGCCCACCGAGCGTGAGCCTGTGTAGTAGACGCTCCGCCAAGCACGACCGCAAAAACTCGCGTTAGCGTTCAACGGTCAGGCCTGGGTAATAGATAGTTGAAGAGGAGTGGCGGAACTTCTCACCGAATTTCAGGCAAGCGACAGTGGTTCCACGGTGGGTATCGTATCATTCTCCTACCGGGCGACTATGCGCGATCAGGTGCGGCGCGATTTTCGGGGAGAAGTACCCACCGCGGTAAGGAGACACTGTCGCAGCTACAGCAGGGTATCGCAAGCAGCAGTAGACCCAAAGGGCATGCTGCATTTGGGATCAGGCGCATATTTTCACGCTTGGTGACAGCCATGGCGCATCTGACCCATATTAGGCGTGCTCAACGAAACACACCTACCCCACGTATAAGTCGGTGTGAGCATCCAGCTGGACTGTCAGCAATCAATACCTATCCATATTTTCTCGTCATCTCGAAACTTTATCAACCCCATTGTGGTCTCGTCGGAATACGAGCATGAGAGGGAGCAGCTGCTTCCCAGTAATGAGGAATTTCGCTCACTAAAGCACCTCATTCTATTTTAAGATGACTTTATTTCTTTCTTCGATAACCCAAATCAGAAAAATTGTACTTTCCGCACGTCAGAGAAATTCTAGCGGAACTCAATCATCTACCTCCGCATGCATGGATTCGGGCCGATTCACAATTCTGCAAAGCTGATTATTCGTAAGCAGCCAATCAGTCAATCTCGAAAGCTGTTCACCTCCACAACTTTTTGGGAACGAATGCTGATAGGCAAAGACCCGGTGGAAAGCAACAGCAAGGAAGGCCATTAACCGAAAAAGTGCAAGATCGTTTACTCTCAAAAGGCGCTCGCTCTTAATCCCTGTTGACTCAGAGACCTCTCATGTTTCAATGAGAAAAATCGTTAAATCGCCTAAGAGGCTCATAGGATGACAACAATCCAAAGATTTGCTGAGGGACAGTTGCTAGCTCAATCGGCGATGGCAAAGGTTCAAGATAACGTTTCCGCTTTGGAGCTAGTGTAGGGCAACTAGATGATTTAGATGGGCAAATAAGAACGATGAGAAATTGCCTTTTTAGTGAATTCAGATAGCAACTGCCAGTAGGTATTCCCATTTGACTTCGAACTCGTTTCAATTGTATTTTCTAATTCCGTATCGATTTTTTTCTTCAGATTGCAGTTATTTATTTATTTATTTCGATTGGACGGTTAAGAATGCTCTTGTTCCCTACTCGTCATCTGTGGGTGATAATACCAAGGCTCTTACATCGACCGACAGTTAATTAGCTCCAATTTCAATTATCCTGGTTAGGAATGGCTATAGCTGTGAGCCACTGAAAAAGCTGAAGGCTTGCTTACCCTGACCGTCCCAACTCGCAGTCGATGTGGGAGACCACCGAATTGCCATGTTGTCGAAAAGGCCAAAACTACTTGTAGCTAACAGCTAAGCAGTTCAGCCTAACTGAAGCAGAAGTGAACAGTGATAGCTAGCAGGTGCTCCCACTACCCACCTGATTTCTCCTTGACAACCTCCACATCTGTGGCCCTGTGGTCGGAGCTTACTGGGTAAGATTTTCTTCGATATCAACACTTACGTTCAGAATTGACAAACTGGCTTGCTCGAGTGGGAGAATCAAGAGATATTACGGGCAATATGTCAATTTGTTATGGGGAAGTGGTAGAAGCGTACAGAAGTTGATGGAGCATTCATTGATTAGCGTTCTCAAGTACTTCAATTAATTTCGTCCATCAAAGCATTCCCTACCAAACTTATTCCCTTACTCATGCCCACTCTGTGAGGGTACGATGGACCACATGTGAACTGTTGAGCGTTCGTTTCATCAGAGAACTCCTGCATATATAGCCTCTATCCACCAGCATTGTATTTTCAGCTTCTGGGGCCCTTTGAGGGAGGAGGGAAGCAAGGGAACCAGAACACGATCTCTGGACCGAATTTGTTGTATTGCCCCACTGCCACTCACAACAAGACGGATTTAATCGTCCCGTGAATGTGTGACACAGTAATCCAAACGCATGCTGAAGTGCCTCCAAAACACCCGTCACATATAAGACGCAAAGGAAAGGTACCCCGGGTGAAGCTCACGGGAGTGGGCGATGAAATACTAGGGCGTTACGGTGTCACACATTCGCGAAACGTTAAAATCCCTCTAATCCACTCGAATTTCTATGTAGGAACCTGAACGTATCTGAGCAACAGCGCCTGGCATTCCCGTACAACAATCAACAAAGAGAGCTACTTCTTCGAAGACATTCGCATGTCTACATGAAGGAAACTTCCTCGCTTATCGATGTCCTATCCTTAAAAAACGGCACGACATGAAGTATCAAAATCAGGGTCAAATGTTTTGAAGAGAAGGGTGCGCTATCAGTGCTATCGCTTCCGGCCAGCTGGACTTGCTGGACGTTTAGCACGTTCACCCTAAAACTTTGGTCAGGAGACGTCATGAACGATAGGGTATTGGTCAGCACCCTTGACGGCTTGTAATGAAACGAATGCCTTCAATTTTGCATATCTACCATCTTTTACACTTATAAACACTCAGTAGTGTGATATTCCTCTGACAAGGAAGCAACAATGCTTACTTTATTCAAGTACCCTTTTCATTTCCCATACCAAGACGAAAAGACTAAAAAAGAAAAAGCAAAAAAGTGAAAACGGAAGAAGTGAGCATTTCCTTTAAAAACTTTTAAAAAATGCATCGCCTGAATAGCAACTTTTAAGATCACTTGGAGCGCTCCAAAGCAAGTTTAGCCTAAATGAACTCGTCTAATTCCGTGATATCGATCGACCGCACAGTCGAATGCCCGCTGTTAGCCAATGGAAAGTATGGACTCAACCCGATGCCATGGGCATAAATTGCCGCGTGTGCCCGGTACGAATTCGTTCGCCGCCATGCCCTTATCTACCAAGTGGTGCTAAGAAAAAGAAGCGCATATCGATCAGTCCGGGATTCGAACCCGTGACCATGCATATGTGATAGAGCGCCACTTGCGACTACACCACTTCCTTGACGTCAATATGGAAAAGAATAAATTAGGATTTCGTAAACGAGAATGATTTGAATAAAAGAAAACAGATCAACACCTACTTATAATTACTACTCAATGGCATTGAAGAGGGCTTTCCCCGGGTCTACGCCTATCTAATCAGTGTTCTACCGAGGAGGTCAACCCGGGCCACCTGCACTACACCAGCTATCTAATGCACGAGCGTTCAAACCGTTACGATTCTGAGGGTAAGGGGAATATTTTAGTGTACCCAGTACTGGGATTAACAAGCGCACCCCGAAAAGGGAAAATCGAAATTTATTTTCACGAATTCTTCAGTAGAATGTGATTTTTCACTGTGTTCTCGTTATAAATGATGTTATGAAGGAAATGCCGATACATTTCGATGCACAACAAGTTTAGAACAAAGACCCGTGTTATTTTCTAAATGTGAGCTGCAGGGCGCCCGGATGGTGCAGGCCGGCGGCAATCGACGCCCGTGGGTAGAGGCCGCGAGCAGCGCGTTCGCCGTCGCCTCGGCCCTTCCAGTCACGATGAACAGCATGCAAATTGCTGATCTTTTCGAAAAGGTACTACCAAGTACTTCAGTACTTCCAAAATGTTCTGAGAAGGAAAGGAACCTCCACTATTTGCAGGTCGAACGACTCGAACCACTCGATTCATGCCCTTTAAGTGCAGAGCTTTCATCGTTACGAAATGCGGTTGGTTTACTTTTACTTTTACTTTTATTTATTTTTTAAAACAGGTACAAACCACAAAAACAACAAATTTCTATTTTTGGAATCGTATATGGATATATCCATTTGTTGGAGACTATTATTTGTACAGTTGTAGAGCGATGGCAATGTACTTTTAGAATTGTTCTGTTACATCGCTGTCCTTTATTTTATTTCTTGTTCCTTCTTTTTGAGCCCCTACTTACTCTGCTCGTTTCCGTCGAATTATCCGTTTCTTTTTTATTCGACTTCGTTTCAATTTTACAAAGAATCTCCAACTTCATTCTACTTTCGCTTGTTTTTTTGTGTTTTTTTTTNTTTTTTTTTGTTAATTTTGAGCTTTTGCTATTCCAAAGTAATCAAACCTTTTTGTGTACCCACTTATCTTACTCATAATTATCTACATTACATCTTTGCGATGTCAGAAAACCAGTTTATTTGACGCAGAACCGCCTATTCACGGGCGTATCGTGGGGGCATTGGGCGGACCCAGTTTGCTGACCGTGGCACATTTAACCTGTTCTACGGCCAAATCGACCAAAGATTACAGGCGTACGGTAAACTATCAACAGTAGCTATATGATTGTTAGGAAGTGGGAATTTAGCCGTTATTCATAATGGAAACCTTTGCCATCACAATTCCAACGATAATTTTATTGACTGAGCTTTATTACAATTCTTTATCGTTCTTCCGGCCTGTATCTTGGTGCCATTTTTATTTCATCGCCCTGCTCGAGTACATATAGTGTTTTTACAGACTTTTCTCTTTACTTGCTTTCCTTTCCATCCACATAAAATGCGATTCTGATATTATTGATGGCTCGATCTTCTTGAAAAAGAAACCTTTTTCATACTTTTGTGTCATTTCCAATTTTTAGTTTGCATTGGGTCATCTATTTTTGATAAATATAAACTTCCGGTATAAAATCAACAGTTTTTAAGACTGGCGAAACGCTACTCATTGTCGCTGCACGTGCAAATAATGTTGCGGCCGTTAAGACACTTGCCCTGGATACGGAAATGCTTGATGAATCTGACAATGTACGTTGTTATTTCATTGAATAACAATTTTATCCCCTTCAAATTCCCCTGTTTACTTTGATGAAATCTCAAGATTTAGGAAGAATGGAGCGCTTTGTTGAATGCAGCTCACAGAGGTCATACAGAGATAGTCAAAATTCTTCTGGAAAATGGTGCCAGTGTAGACTTTCCCGATTCGGTTCGTTTTCTCCACTGCATTGTTGGAATGCTGTTGTCCTGCATGTTACTAAAACTCTGATTTAGTTGGGTTGGAGTCCATTAATGTGGGCTGTTTACAAATGCCATCCTGATATAGTGGATCTACTTTTAAATTACGGAGTAGGTAACTAAATCACGATTATTTCCTCTTATTCAGGTTCTAGTTGTCATACGCGATAAGTTTAGGCTCACGTCAACTTGATTGATGAAGAAGACGGTTTGACACCTCTCATTGTAGCTGCTGGTCGTGGTTTTACTAATGTCGTCGAAAGGTTGCTTGCAGCTGATGCACAAGTGAGATTTCAAGAAGCATACTTCCCAATCTTTATTTTCTTATCGCTGGAGTTCAGGTCAATGCCTGTGACAAATTCGGCAGCACAGCCTTGATCTGGGCTGCCCGAAAAGGTCACCTACCAATTGTACAAATGTTGTTGAATGCGGGTGCTGAAGTAGACGCAGTCGGGATGGTAATTCTTTTGTTTTCATCCCTATTTTTCCTTTTCTTCTTTATATCAAACGCTTTCTGTGCGCTCATAAGCTTTGAAATGTCTTCAGATGGTTAAAAACGTTACCATTTCAGTGGTCTTCAACTGCTTTAATGCTAGCTACAAAGGGGAATTATTTAAATGTTGTAGATCTAATTTTGACTCGGGAGCCGAACGTAAACGTCGTCGATCAGGTACAATTTATATTAGCATGGAATTGTTTCTTGTGATTAACCCTATTGTTTTATAGAATGGTCTGTCAGCATTAGGAATGGCGGCACGAGAGGGCTATGCAGATATTTGTGAATCTCTTATCAACTCGGGTGCTTTTGTCAATCAATCTGATAAGTCAGTTTGCTTGTTTACTTATTTCCAGCCTCATGTTCCTTTGCTTGAAATCTGTTGATAATTTAGATACGGTAACTGGATATTGACCAGCGCTGTTCGTAGCGGCAATGCTAACATTGTCCGTTTGTTACTCGAAAAGTTTGCTGATGTCAATGCCAGAGATTCGGTTAGCTGCGACCTAACACTGTTTTTTAGCACATGGAACTCAGTCTTTTGATTCAGGAGAATAGGACTGCTTTGCATCTGGCCATCGATAAATCATTCATGGATATTGTTTATCTCATTCTGGAAAGGAAGCCAAACTTAGAGCTGAAGAATAAGGTTCGTCCCCAATTTGCAGGCTTCCGAAATGGTGTGAAGATTCTGGTTACTATTTTTTTTACCGTTGTACTGATTGTTCTTTCTTTTTTCTTGATTTTTGAAAACTTGAGAATCTTCACAGCAGAGAGGAGAGAATCGAGTTAGCGTTACCTTCCCGAAAGAAACATGTCATGAAACAGAATTGAGTGTGTTGGGCATGTTGCAAATTAGTGCCCCTTGAAGGGAGAGCTTTCTATTCTTTCTTGCTCTCCATGGTTTTGTGTTTTTGAAGGGTCTTCAGAAGAAATTTTGCTTTACATCTTATTATACCATGGAATGTCTCCGTTTCCCCGCTAATCAATAGAAGTAGTAAAGCGTTCAAGGCCTTCTTTCAACTTTTCTGTGAACCATACTTTTGACCCATTTAGTTCTCTTTCTGTTCGACTTGCAGTTGTAGTGATGAATCATCATAGAAAATCAGTGATATCTACATCTTTATAGGATGGCGAAACGCCTCTTCTTCGAGCGGTTAAAAGTCGTCATGTTGCATTATGTGAGCTGCTTGTTAAAGCAGGCGCGAAAATTTCGGCAGCAGACAATAATGGCGATAATGCTCTTCACCTAGCTCTGAGAGCCAGAAGTCGGAGGCTAACGCAGACCTTATTAAGTATGTGCCCTCTCTTTATATTGACTTGTTTTACAATCCACAGTTATCATCATTTACCGTAAGTTATGCTCTATTTCTTCAGCAAATCCCTCGGATTCTCGCCTCCTCTACCGACCAAATCGCCTTGGTCAGACTCCATATTCTATCGATCAAGGAAATCCGCAACCTATATTGCCTCTAATCTTTGGACCAATAGATGCGGAGCAACAGATGGACACAATGTTAGGATACGATGTTTATAGCAATGTACTCGCCGATATTGGTAGGGCTTATTTGATTTTAGTATCGTATTCATGTATTTTTATGAAGAATTTATGTATTTACTCATGATTTTCAGTTTGTGAACCGTCTCTGTCTCTTCCACTCACTGTTGGCTTGTATGCCAAATGGGGATCGGGTAAATCTGTGTTACTTGCAAAACTCAAGGACTCAATGTACAGCTTTTCGCGTAATTGGCTAGAGGGAGCTCACTTAGAGTAAGTCATAGAATATTTAGATGGATCTAATTTGTTTCATGAAACTTACCTTTCGACCCCTTTCCAGCTTATCTGCACTCCTATTTTTCTATATCACCCTACTTTGTATAATCTTCACAATGACATTGTCTACGATTTTCGCTGTATTCGCCAGTTTACCCGCGCTGATTGCGGTATGGATAGTTGGACTATGCATCCTTATTTCTATTATTTCATCATATTGTAAGTTTGAGGATGTAGTCGCAAAGGTTTTCTTCTTGTTAATAGATTCTCCCCGTTCTGCTCTAGGAGACCTTTCTTCTGGCCTGATTCTTTTTCCAAATTTCCAAGTTTTTGTAGAGGGTAGTTAACACTAGTTTATAGTTCGCAGGTGCTTCTTTGATACTACCCCTCGTTAAGGTTTTATTTATTATGGTAGCGAAATACGTGGTTGGTCTGCTCCCAGTCAGATCGCAAATTCACTCTCACGTTTCATATATCGTATTCGTCTTCTGTGGAATGTTGCCACTTTATATGCACCAATGCACTCTGAAAACGATATTGCAAGTAATCCTGTGAGGCAAGTTTGGAAATTCACTATTTTACCTTTTTTACCGAATTCGTTTTATTATGATGCTATATTTGTACTATATTATACAATGTTTAGTTTCCTCTTTGCCGATTATCATCGGTTGTCATCTATTGGTGGTGAGCAAGCACTAGCTAAAATCGTGGCCACTTTGTTTGAGTCGGCTGAAACACACTTCGGCGTTTTGCCTGTGCGGCTATTCTGCTCGTTGAGAACCGCTTATCGTAAGTGTACAAATTCTCCCCAATTGGTTGCAAGTTTTTGGTCGAGCTTTTGATAACTCATTTCATTATAGTCTTTCTTATCATTCTTTATTTCGTTTATATTAGAGAGGGAGAAAACAGCTCCTATCTCGTGACATTTTTTAAAACTTTTCCAATCGCCACCTGAGGTTCTTTTTGTTTTGGCGTTAGAGTACAATTTGAAAAACACCTTACGTGCCTAGTATCAGCATCTTTCTAGCGGGTAGCTCATTGATAGGCGATATGCTTTCTTGATTTGAAAAAACTGCGTTATCCATCCCACCGAAATTTTCCGTTCGCTTTTGAGCCTTAAACTCTATGCTGTCGGTCGATCTATCACAAGCGTAGCTCACTGTAGTCACGATTTTGTCGCTGTTTGGTGATCACTCTTTCTTGAGATTAGTTATAAAGGGTGGTGAGGTGTAAAATTTAAAATCAAAGGAATTTTATTTAGATATTAAGAGTATTTTTGTAGTAGAGTGCATTGCTCATTGTTAATATTCCAGCCGGGCAGCATGGTTCGCTGCGGCGACATTGCGGTGTACCAATAGTTCTCCTGGTGGGAGTCGCTGTGGTTGTGTTGCTTTGTTCCGAAGTATTTATGACGCTATGGTTATTCAGTGAAAGAGATGCGAGCTCAGGAGCGTAAGTCTTAACATTACTCCTATTTCTGCAGTTTTCTGTATTTGCTCTATTCATTGGTCAAATTTCTAGTAGTACTATCCATCCTTCCTGTAGCCTACAATTTTCCCCAATTTCAGCTTGTTTGTTGCATCTGTGGCTTTCGCAGTTGTATTTCTTATGCTAACAATCTATCCCATTATTATTATGATGAGATATGGCTACACTAATGTTCCTCGGCGACGTGTTAATGCGGCTGCAAGATCGGTTCACAAATTACGCTTCGAGGGCCTAATGCAGAAGTTGCAATCCGAAGTTAGTTTCTCCTAGTCGTTCAGCTAAGCCGGTTGTCCCTTTGTCCAATGTGAGAACTTGAAGATGAAAAGTTAGCCAGAACTATCGATTCCTTGAATGAATTCAGTTTTGTTCAGGTTGATATATTGGCTGATATGATAAGGTCCCTGGATGCATTTACTAGGAGTCAGACGCGACTTGTTGTTGTAGTGGACGGGCTTGATAACTGTGAACAAGTTAGCGAGCATTTCTATATAAATTTCTATCAAATGTTTCTTGTTCTGCTCTCACCGTGTTGTTGAAGGAGCGTATGGTGCAAACGCTGGATGCTCTGGAACTTTTGTTTTCTGCTCGTAAACATCGACCTTTTATCACAATCATAGCTGTTGATCCACATATAATTGTGTCGGCCATCAATCATAACATGCACTCTGCTCTTACTGGTTCGTTTATTATGTTTAAAGAATCCTTTTATTTCTTCAAGCATTTGTTGCTAAAAAGAATGCAAATGACTGAGCCATCCTACGCTTTCAGGAACTGAACTCACCGGTCATGACTATTTGAAAAATATCGTTAACATGCCTCTCTATCTTCATAACTCAGCCCTACGTCAGCTACAAAACAAGTTGAAGGTTAGTTGAGTGAATTGACCTTCCAACGAGGAGTTCTGCACTCTTCTTTTTAGGCCAAACGCGAGTCTTTTGCTGATTGGAAAGAGCGATATAGGCGTCAGGAAACTTTTCATGGCTCACATCTCTCGTTGTCTGACGGACGACAAAGTCGAAAGGTATCGCTTCTTGATGTAAACTTACTCAGTGAATATGAATGGATAGTAGTTTTGAGAAACAGCTCATAGATAGCAGGAATATTTATTTGTTTATCATCAATTAGTAGAGTACATAGACATACTATGTTCAAAAATTTATTGGCACAGGATTTAATTTCAAAGGCTACGGTGGTTGTTGGTACGCGCAGTATTGGAGAATCGCTACTCAATGATGACTACTTCTCCAATATGAATCCTCGTGCCATGAGAAGGATCGTTAACGCTCTTACTTTAACTGGTGAGTTTAACGTCTTTTTACTTTTACAGAGCATATAGTTGGCTTGTACAAAATACTTACTTATACTTACCGTCCACGCTTCAGGTCGGCTTATGCGAGCATTCGAGATCGATTTCTCTTGGCTCGCTCTTGGTCACTGGGTTTCTCTTTTGGAACAGTGGCCTAGTAGGATGTGTTGGTTGATCGATCGTGCTCTTGATGTCAACAATAACGCTTTAACGCTAGCCGAGGTATTTGTTTTGCGAACGTCTGTTGATAGAACTTTCTTGCATTATTATTGATTTCTGTATTCGTACTTATTCTCTGCTAATTCAGCCCGTTTTTTGCGTTACTTCAACGTTCTTCAATTTCCAAAGCCCTTTATCAGTCCCCAACCTACCATAGTTATCCTAGAATGTACATGAGTCGAAGTTTTCGCACTCGTCCCAGATATGTTCTAATTCCAAGACTTTTCTGTTGTTCAGGTATACCATCAGCTCAAAGACCATATTCCAAAAAAGGATTCACTGATTGAATTGGATAGGAATCCGGATAACTTTGAAGCGAGTCAATTTCACATTAAGGGTTAACGTCTTGCCTATGAGGTAGCGTCTATCACTCACGATATTTAAGGCTTTCTTGGACTCGCCAGCAATTCCTAGTTCTGAGCAGCTTACGGTTGGGCATGTGAAAAAGTTCGTACCATGCACCAGCAATCTCGATCCTTATCTGAGGAAACTGATTAGAGGTATGTTCAACTTCAGCTTTTACAGCTGGCTCACCAAAAAGCTTCCATTTCCCGGTTGAGCCCTAGGCTTTGCCACATAAATCCGATTAAAAACAATGTGTTTCTAAGAAACATGAGTGAAGGGCAAGTTAAAATTCAGTCTTTAAGATTGTGGTTGGTCACGCCATAATTTAATTCCAGAGCGACGTCAAGGCTTGGAGGATCCAGTGCAGGAGATTGGTCTTGGTTCAGTGATTCCGCCGAATGCCAAGTACTTGTTCGGGGTACGTTATGGAATATTGCATTAAACGTATAATAATGCGCTAAATATGCGAAATGACTTTGATGGATCCTATTTATAGGATGAAAAAGTGTGGAGCACGGTGAATACTCCACTTGTGGAGATGAAACTGGATGCTGTGTGCAGTCTTGTCAAGCGACTAGACATTGCTCCTAGCAGGCTCGACACTATCATTCGTAAATTCCAACAACTCAATCTTGGAGGCCTCGTTCTAGCTTCGTGTCCACTTCAAGACCTGAAGGATGCGCTGGGAGTGAGTGGCTTTGCAAATATTGATTTTTCTTCGAGCTATAGCTTAACTAGTATGCTGCTGCCTAGATCCCACTGGGGGACTGGACCATGGTACGACTTCTCGTCGAAACTCTAAAAGCATTCGGACCAAATGTTCCTGGTGTGAAAATCGACAAGGTACTTTCTGGTTTTATTCGATCTCTGGTTGTGAGATCGACTGAGCTGCTCGGAATTTCCATTTCATTTTCATTTTGCTGCGTTTCTTGGTCAGAATATTCATACCTTTTAACAAAAGTTTTAGAAATGTTGGTGAAAGATTCAATCGGGACATTAGAAAGTTGTGACGATGATTGTAGTGTAGGGATTTTTAGCGTTGGCCTGGCAGCTAACTAAATCGTTTTATAGAAGTGACGAATGACCTTCGAAGCTTTTTTTACATGGACAGTGTTCAGTTCAATCAATGCCTTTGTGTTTTTTAGAGGAAAGCGCTGACGTTACCAGAAGAGGATGAGGATGGCTCAGACGTCGAAGCGGAAGTGATTCGTCGTGATACGGTAGTACAATCGCCGACAGCTCAGTTGTCCAAAGATCAGCGCAGGAGGTACGATTACCTCTTTTTTTTCTCTGTACTGGTTTACATGAAAAAAATTCAGGTCGGTGGCTGCAACAACTGAAATTAACAGCGATCACAAGTGGCTTATGGAAAGTCTTTCCGGAATGGATCTAAGTTTGTAACAAGGCACAATATATGTAGCTGTAAAGGCTTTCCCCCACATCAAAACCACAACGTTACAGCTCAAACTGAAGGTGATCTCGACTTGCCACCATCTTCCGGGAATTCAGTGCGGTTCGGTGACGCACTGGAAGATGGGCTAGCTTCTGATGCTGATAGCATAGAGTCTCGTTTCGGGAGCCGAGAGAATTTGCTCGACCCCGGTCCGATTCTCAGTCGTCACTCCAGCACGAGCAACGGAAGGTGAGAGCAAATACTGCTACGAGGTTGACTCTGGTATTATGGGGGAACATTTTTTCTAAGAAGCTTTTTGAGGCTTGAGCTACTCTTCGAGTCTGAATACTCTCACTAAGATCTGAATACTTGCTCATCTACTTTGAAATTCTTTTATTTTCCATATTTCTAAATTCGGATATTTACATAAATGTTAGAGTTATATAAGTTGGATTAGCTTATCCATGCCTGGCCTCCGTTTTGCTTAGCTCATTTTTTGTCCCAGTAATCGTTTTTTCTGAACCGAATTTTATGGCTCAATTGCCCGGTACGACGGCATGAATTGGTGTTGCTCGAAACGACCAGTCTGGGGTTTTTTTTTTACGATGGATAGTCTATCGTGTGTATAATCTACATCACAAATTATAGCCCTCTCATGAAGACAGCTAGAAAGCTTCGAATTCACCATGTGGTTCGATTCAGTTCCCCATACTTCCAACGGGTGCACCCACGGTTGTGCAGTTGGAGGGCATCAATCTTTTATCCTTCTAAGGCAATTAAGTAATCGGTAATTAGTAGATCCCCCTAGAAACGTACGTTCTTCTTTTGAGCTTTTTAGGTTTCTCAATTTTTTTTTTGCTTTACTTTTCGTTAATGTCTTTTCCTCTGCACATTGTTAAGTTATCTTCCTACACATCTTTCCAGATATTTATTTTTTAGATACTTAATGGCTTCTCAATATTCAGCTGCACCACTATCCTTACTATTAGCTCTCTCACGTCCTTACCTAGAAGTTTTGCATGCGGTGGCGGATCAGCATAACGTTTTTGATAATTGTTCGTTTAGCGTTAGGAACCGAACATCGTACAGGAATTCTCCTCAGTATAGAAGAATGAGTCGGTAGGCGGTTGTTGAGTGTGCATGCTACTTCGCTAATACAGAATTCACATTACATAATAATATAATATTGATTTGATCGGAGTCTCGCGATGCTGATAATATACTATCGCTTGCTCTTCCGTTCATCCTTGTTGCCGGCATTTCCACCTTACAATCAAACAACTTTGCCATATGAAATGGGCCGACCAACACTATCCGTTTTACACATCCATAGCGAAAATATTCTGCTCTAGAGTGTTGACTCGGACGTTAGAACGCCGACTCGGGCGTTGGTATCTTTTCACTATCTAATGCTTAAAATTTCTTTATAATCAAAACTGAAGTATCGTGAGAATTCCGATCAGCTCAATAGCGTAGTAGCTGCGTGTGCTACTGTTTTTNTTTTTCTGGTTTGCTGTGGATTACTTTGCACAGATAGATAGTTCTAGTGGAAATGTGATGTGTAGGTTCTACAAAGCCTGGTGGAAGTACTGCAGGTACTCTCTCTTTTCACGGTCGTCTCACTTTCATTTCCACATCAAACAGTGAGGGAGAGCCGACTTCCTTCAACACTTTTCTGTTCTGAACTCAGCTGTCACCCTTGACGACTGCATCGTGTCTTGGCAATTTAACTCGACACGAAATGTTGTTCCTTTTAGGGGTGAATTGATGCGCCAGATCCACAACGACTCTATTCACAGCGCTACGGTTGGTTTTTTACTTTTGAGCAGTTTATTAGGATTAAGATTGTATTCAATGCTCATCACTCTGCTGCGAATTCGACAGGGGCAGGAAGTGAACGCAGTATAGAAACATCCAGTGCTACTACGCAAGAGATTGAAATTCAGTACTAGTCCGAGCTTTTACCGTAATCCAGGTCCAACTAGTAGATGCTATTTTACGTCTAGCAGTACTGAGCCATGATTACGGTAAGGGTTAAGATCGGTGCTAGATTTCGTTCTTGTAAGGTGATCGAGTTTTGGGTAGGATCCAGTGCATTTTCAGGGGGAATGCTGAGGAGCAGCAGTTAGTAATACACGCTAATATTTTGTTGCGTGCTTCCATTATTCTTGACATTTGTTATTGAAGGATGCCGCCTCATCGGTAGTGTCAGATGATGATCACCAGATGACTGTCATGCGTCGAGATGGCGCAATACCTGTATCCGAACGAACTCAGCTGGCAAACCTCTTTGGACGTGAGAATGGCAATGCGTAGGACAATATGTTTACAAAAGCTCTTTTTTTATTCTTTTGTGTGGTCTCAGCTTTACGACTTCCTAATACGGCCTGCATCCATGACCTCTTTCGAGCTTGTATTTGATGACCGAATTTGTGATTACTTGTTATGTTCTCATTTTTCAGACGACTCTTCGTCTCTAATAATTTGTTTAAAATTAGACAACACAAAATTCGTGTGATGCTGAAGGGGTATTGTAGTTAGTCTAACATCATTGTAATAACTTTTTAACCCTTTAATAAGTAGTTGTAACATTTCTTAGGTGAGTTTCATACCGAGTGTTTGTTGGGGTTAGTACAAGCAGTTGCCTTAATAGAGCCTAGAAGTTGTAAATTGTAAATGTTTATGTCTACTTTAAAAAGTCTCAGGTAATAGAATTCTTATTTATTTCCGTTATCCTTTTCACTGTCTAACAGTTCATGTCAAGAATCAGGACCAAGGCTTAGTTGCTCACGAGCCTCCGTCTTTTTGAACAGTTCTAGACTAGTGGAAGGGAGGTATAATGCCCACCTGGCAAGTAGTTCTTCAGTAGCAGATAGACCTGCTCCGATAAGGTTCCAAGTAAGTCAATATGCCTTACTAATTAACGTGGATTATTTGGAGCTGATAGGATCAGGAGCTCGCCCTGCGAAAATTTTCTCAACCAATTCTGTTGAACCCCACTTTGATAAACCTCGTTTTTTCCTAATAGGGAATTAAATGGAGGCTTCTGTTTATGAATCGTCGTCAAAGCTCCATTCAAGCTATACTCGGTCCTGGTTGCTGAGGTGAAGTCTGAGGGTGGATAGTTCTCCAGTAGAGTAGAAATTACTAGTGTTAACCCATGACAGAAATTAATGACTCATTTAATTGTGGTAATTCCTCTCTAGTCACTCAATGATTGCTCATTCAGTGTCCATGACGAACTTATAGTTGAATCTGTTTCACTTATACTTAATAAATATATACGGATGGATGTAAGTTTCGATTGTTGAAAGATTATTTCAATAAACACTGTTGCAGCGTTGAAATTTTCTAAGTAGGTGGGCAATAGTGCCCGTGAATTTGAGTTATTCTTGCTCTTACGACACTGAGTGAAAGTAGGACAGGGGCTTCAAAGCCTTTGATAATGATTTCCCGGAATGGCTTTATCTTAGTTCTTGAAATAGTCGTTGCACTTGCATCACCTGCCCTTCCGACGATCATCAATTTGCTGAACGGGGCGCGATTATATCTCTGTTAATGTCTGTGGCGAATAAACGTAGTCTAGTCCTGAGAGACGCATGTCGCAATGTCGTTAGGCCCGTTTAAACATCCATAAAGAAGTCAGTACGAGTGACGGCTGTCTCAGCTCTTGTTTGACGTGCCGAGCAAAACGGGTGATGCTAATACAGTGCATTTCATAATTATAAGGTCACCCTCGAATTTTGCACTTTCAGAAAAAGCAGTCATTAAGGATTTTTTCTAGTATCATGAACGGATTCCCCAGCACGAATAACCTAGGTTTCCGTTTCTTAGCCGCAGCTGCATTTTTCCGAACTTTTTTAGAACAGTTTATNCTGAGTGAAAGTAGGACAGGGGCTTCAAAGCCTTTGATGATGATCTCCCGGAATGGCTTTGTCTTAGTTCTTGAAATAGTCGATGCACTTGCATCACCTGTCCTTCCGATGATCATCAATTTGCTGAACGGGGCGCGATTATATCTCT